ACTTCTTAAAGGAGCCAAAATCAGTTAAATTTGAAGTTCACCCTGTCCTGCGAGTTAACCAAAAATTAGCAGCTATTATGCAGAGCAAGAACATTTCCTTCACAGCATCTGCTGATATAAAGCTAAGTCTAAACTTGACTTCTGCAGCCAGTTATCTGTAGAAGACACTGTATCAGTAAACTTGAGTCACATTCTCAAAGATTACTATGAAAATGGCATCAGTGTCTTTTGCTTCAGGCTTGTTTAACACATAAAACATTTTTTTTCCATTATTGGCACTACAGTCTCTCTACGGAACCAAAAGTCTAGATACTTTCACCTAAGACAGAGCACTGAGGATTCTTCAGAGATGAACGGGGCTCTACAGTTTCAGCACGAGCAGGAAATAATCAGATGTTTTCAATAAAAAAAAAGATAACAAAGTCATGTCTCACTAACCTTGCAAGGCTGTTACAAAAAAAATATTTATTCACACCTTTAATTACTCCTGCTCCTGATGTTAGAAGGTAAGAAGGGTTTATAACAACAACAAGAAAAGAGGCCAGGTTTTCAGGAAGACGTGAAATTAAAATTCTAACAATTAAGACAATAATATCTGACATGGGATCATCGCAAAGCCAGCTCACCCAGGGACTTTCCTTCCGCACCAGCTGAAAGCCACTGCACACTGTATTTGTCCAGCAGTACACGCTAGTGGACAAACTCCAGAGCCCTTATTTAAGCAATGGAAGCTTTGTCTGATACCAGACGATTTGATTCTGAATAAGAGGGAAGGTTAGTACTATTTTGAACAACTGGTGTATACTGTTGCATACATACCTCCCCTGCCCATTCCTTTGCATTCCTTCCAGCAAAGCCTCCATCACCAAATCCTGGTGGCTTTAGCAGCTAGGAAAGCAGAAAAAAGCAGCCGTCACCCATGGCAATGTACAAACAAGGCTACTCCTCCATCCACCTGCAGAAGAAGCAGAAGTCCACAGAGGAAAGAAGTTAAAAAAATTACAATTAGCACACAATTGCAGGTGAGGAAACGGTGATCAGCTTCATGAACTTAAACACCAAATATCCACTAAATAAAGGAAACCAGATTTTTCTTAAAAAAAAAAAAAAACAAGCAAAAAAACCCAAAACAACAAAAAAAACCCCACACCACAAAAAAACCCCAACGCAACCATTCAGCACTATCAAATTGTGGTGATATAATCGTGCGATCTAATGAAAGGAATAACTCAAACAGCAGCAGTGAAGGAGAATCTGCACTTCAGCAAGTGGGCGAACTCAGCACACTGGGCCCGGCAGATCTCCCACCTCCTTCGTGCACCGAACAGCGGAAGATCAGCCACACGCAGGGACTTCCAAGCGGGCCAGCCCCAGATCTGCCTCTGACAGGAGCATCTGTCACTTTAGAGAAAAACCATAAGCACCTTGTAGCAAATACCAGTAAGAACCTTAGGTCTCTCCCAGGTCTCTATTACAGACGAGGTTCAACAGACCACACAGTTAACGATCGCGTTCAGGACACGCTGCTAGTTCATACAGTTGTGTGAATTTTCTTTTAAGATAGCACTAACTCTTTAAAAATTCCTCTGGTGCCTTAAGCTATGAAAACAAGTTGCACAGGTTTACAGTAGCAGTACATTGTCTTCGTTAAAAATTACATCCCTTTAAGTCGCAAACACACGTATGTATGCATACACACAGAAGTTTCATGTATTCATGAAGCAAGAAAAGTTTACATTAAAGGTAAAAATGGGAAATTAAAAAAAAAAGTTACTATAGAACCACACCTGGAAAGCTAGAATTTATTTCTGTGAGTCCTCCATGAAACTGGCTCTCTAAGAGCAAAATCCGCATCCTGAGGATACAAAACTACACTTCAGTTTCACTCCATGGAGGTATTCACACCATCTTCTGTTTCCAAAACATCCACACACTTTCTCCAGTACTTAGAAATGGATCCTCAAAACACCTTTCCTCAAAGGTTAACCTGGCATTATTAAGCAACCAACAAAAGGGGGAGGAGGTCACAGAAAGTGATACTTTCAGAAATACAAACTCAGCTTTGCTCTCTTTCACTTCCATCAGAGCTTCTATTCCGCTCCTACAGCATTTTAAAATGCCATCCAGAGATTAATGCCTGTCCCTGGGAGTTCAGCTATATTTTAAACGACACACATACAGAAAATATGTATTTCACTGAGGGGGTGGAATTCCTATCCCTATTCTCATAGCATTTTGTCTCTCTTTGGTCCTGTCTGTGCTTAGCAAAATTCAGTCAGTATGCAGAACATCTTTGTTGCACTGCTGATGGCACAGTGGATGAGGAGAGCCGACGAGCAGATCCCCAGAGCTGCTGACAGCCCTCCAAGGGAGTTGTCCAGGTGGCAATAGTGGACATGAGCCAGTAGCAGCTCTTCTGTTTCATTCTAATCACACCTACACAGAATCAATTTTCAGTGGGTAGCAGAGACATTTCACTGTCCACCACAGAGAATGTCTGCTAAAATTCAAAAAGAAAATCCAGGGAGCAATCCAGGCTCTTTATCAGCAGCGCCTTCCACATGAGGTTGGGATCGGTTCAACTCTGAAAGCTCTGGTGCGACAAGGAGCCACACAGCATCTACTCTTGCTTCTGTTAGGCTTTAAGCAGGACCCCCAAGGCAAGACACCCAAATCTGCCAGCTTTGTGTACTTGCCATCTTACCTGGGTTTGGAGGGAGAGTCTTAAAATCAGACACCTCTAGCCAGTTTTATGCTACATCAGCTTTGTCGACTTAGTATTGTTTTGGCCTCTCAAGCTTGCAAGGCACGATGTGCAAGTTATAGGCAACCCACACAGGTGCCCCAAGAGGAAACAATCTCTGCCATTAAATGCAGCTGAAGCAGGGAGAGCTGGCCTTATCACTTCTGAAACAAGATAAAGGAAACACTTGGGGGGGGAAGAGATTAGACATTTTAAAAATCAACAAGATTTAGCATCCCAACTCAATAAAGAATTGTAGCAGTAGAGTCAAGTGGAGAAAGTTGGACAATATGCAGGAGGATTTAAGAATACTACCTGTGGAAAAAAGGCATTATTTTGCATTTAGAAAACACAGCAGGATGCAATTTTAAAAAAGCATCGCTGGAAGCGAGCTTGCAATGAATGGAAAAGCATGACCCACGTAGGAGCCAGAACTTCCCAAAAGCCCCAACCAACACATGCCCAACCTGCCAGCCACTG